ACCACGGACTTCTGTAGGAAACAAACAGTCACACACAATACAAATGCAATCACATGACATTACTTGGCTCAACAACTAACACTACTGATAGATTCGCAATAACGAAGACACGACCGAAACCGTGCTAATTCTTCACTCTTCTGTGAGTTACCAGATTCTAAAAACCTAAAAAATCAACAACCAATTTTATGTTATTTAGAAATATGAAGGAAAATACCAGAAGAAATTGGTTAAAGGTGAAAATGATGCCAGGAAGACAGGTGGCAAGGAAATCGTATTTTTAAATTAATTCTTCTAATGCTCCTTGACTTCTTATACAGGTAACGTAAGAAAGTAGCTTAAAAAATAATTTGTTCCAAGAAATACAGAATATGCGGAAAAACACAAATAAGACATAAATCCCCTGTCCATCTACCAACCTGTTTACATTTTGGTATCATGCATCCCTGCTCTATACATATATTTAATCTACATATTCTAGAAAATTAGGCTCCTTGGGGAGCCTGGGTGGCTCAGTCGTTAGGCATCTGCCTTCAGCTTGGGTCACGATCCCAGAATCCTGGGATCGAGCCCCATATCGGGCCCCCTGCTCAGTGGGGAGCCTGCTTCTCCCTCTCCTACCCCCTCCCCTGCTTGTGTTCCCTCTCTCACTGTCTCTCTGTCAAATAAATGGGTAAAATATTAAAAAAAAAAAGAAGAGAAAATTAGGCTTCTCTTAATTATACTGTTTAGTAATCTGTTGTTTTCATTTAATTTTTTGTGGGCATTTCCTCAGTAATTACATATATATTTACAACATGAGGAACAAAATGAGTACCCTAGACCAAGTTTTTATGCGAGCTGAACTAAACACTTTTGGGATAGAGTTAGTCATGTCAATTAAAAGCATATGAATTTGGGGCGCCTGGGTGGCTCAGTGGGTTAAAGCCTCTGCCTTCGGCTCAGGGCATGGTCCCAGGGTTCTAGGATCGAGCCCCTCATCGGGCTCTCTGCTCAGCAGGGAGCCTGCTTCCTCCTCTCTCTCTCTGCCTGCCTCTCAGCCTACTTGTGATCTCCATCTGTCAAATAAATAAATAAAATCTTAAAAAATAAATAATTAATTAATTTAAAAAACTGAGTGGGAATATATTTCTTTAGAAAAAGATAAGATTAAGGATAACATAACACATTTTCTATATCGTCTAACTAGTAAAATGTAACAACACTGTTTATAATTGAAGTTAGTTTGCTTTCTCCAAAAAGAGTTCCTCTGCCTGGAAAAAAATGTTTTCACAATATATTACTAATTTAAAATAAGAGCATATACAGTATAATCCCTAATTTATTTCTTAGAATGTAAACAGGATAGGGGAAAACAAGCGGGCAAAGTCACACAATAAAAAAATCAACAGTAGTTCTTTCTTGGGCCTATTATGGATCATTTTTATTATTTTCTTCCCAATGCTTTTCTACATTTCCTTAACTGCACTGGTATTACTTCTGGAGTCCCTTTTAAGAAACGGTCTAGAGGGGCACCTGGGTGGCTCAGTGGCTTAAGTCTCTGCCTTCGGCTCAGGTCATGGTCTCAGGGTCCTGGGATCGAGCCCGCATCGGGCTCTCTGCTCGGTGGGGAGCCTGCTTCCCGCCCCCCCCCCCCCCCCCCCCTTGTGTTCTCTTTTCTTTCCAATAAAAAAAAAAAATCTTAAAAAAAAAAAAAAAAAAGAAACGGTCTAGAGTCAATGCTGCAAATGAAAGACAGCAAGGGTGTGAGTAGTTCAAAAGTGACTTATTTGATAGCTAGACTTGTTTTCACATCTTTCATTGAGTTTCCCCGAAGCAATTCCATACCACACTGAAACTCTCCTTGGTGCCTGTCTGGTCTTCTGTTCTTACAGTCAATAATTACTGAGCCTCCATTGTGTGCCGGGCACTGTTCTAGTACTAAAGACTCAGCAGTGAACAAAACAGATGAAATTTGCCAGGGAAGACAAAAACAAAAACACCTATAACAAAAATGCACTTTTAGTGGCCACACAAACATGAGCACACAACAGACACACATACACTCCTTCCAAGTGTGAGGAAGAAAAATTAAGGATAGGTGGGAAGAGAGCATTGTTTTAGTCAGAGTAGGCCTCCCGAGGAGGGAGCCCCGACCTGAATGAGGAGAGGTGGCCATGCAAAGATATGTGAGATTAGGCTAGGGAGAGGGAGCAAGTGAAAAGGTCCTGAGATGTACAAGCTTGTACAGAATAGGGAAAAGACAAGTGAAAAGTGCAGTGAGCAAGCGGGAGAGCAGATGATGTAGAAGGAGGCAGGGATCAGACCATGTAGGGCCTTACAGGACCACAGGGAGTCCCGAAGGTGATTCAAAGGCACTGAGGTTTAAAAGATCACTGCGTGCTACATGGACAATGGACTGTGTGAGGGAATGCAAGGAGGCAGGAAAACCTCTGGGGAGACTTTACAGGTGTTCAGGCAAGAAACAATCATGGCCTGGAATAGAGTCATAGGGTGAGAGGACGAGATGCGGTCTGACATGTATTCACCTTGATGGATGACCCAACAGAACTTGATGACTCACCATCAGGAATGAGGAAGGAATCATAGGTGATTTGCAGGTTCTTGGCTAGAGTAACTGAGTGAATGGTGGTGTCATTTACTGCCGGGGCTAACTGGCAGAGAAGCAAGTTTGTCAGTGGCAGATATCAAAAGACCCAGAGGGCCAGGTGGCTCAGTTCAGCGTCCGACTCTTGGTTTCAGCTCAGGTCACAATCTCAGTCAGGGTCGTGAGACTGAGTCCCGCACTGGGCTCCACGCTCAGCTTGAAGTCTGCTTGAGATTCTCTCTCTCTCGGCCCCTGCCCCCACACTCTCACTCTCCTTCTCCAAAATAAATAAAATCTTAAAAAAAAAAAAAAATCAAGAGACCCATTTCAGACATGTTAACCGTGAAATGACCCCTAGCCATTCGGGTCAAGATGTTGAAGAGACAATTTTACCCAGTTCATGTCTGTAGTCCATGGGTAAGTTGGGGATGATGACGTGTAACTGATACTTAAAGGTATGGGACTAGACTCCTGGGTGGCTCAGTCAATTAAGCAGCTGCCTTCAACTTAGGTCATGATCCCGGGTCCAGGGCTCATTGCTCAGCAGGGAGCCTGCTTCTCCCTCTGCCTCTGCCTGCTGTTCCCCCTGCTTGTGCTCTCTCTCTGATAAATAAATAAAATCCTTAAAAGAAAATTAAAAAAAAATACAGGTATAGGACTAAATTTATCTCCTAGGGTGTGAGCCTCAAGGTATGCTAACTTTAGAGGTAGCAAAGGGGAAGGTGAGTGTCTGGTGAGAGGTCCCAGAAGCCAAGTGAATAAAGTGTTTCCAATATCTGAGTCAGAGCTGCTAGTAAGCAGAGCAGGTAAGATAAGGACTGAGAACTCGTGACCTTGATAAAGGCAGCCTCAGCAGAGTGATGGAAGAGAAAGCCCCGTTTATGCTCAAGAGAGGATTGGAAAAGGAGAGCCTAGGCAGCACAGCTGGTTAAGCGTGTGAACCCTGGTTTCAGCTCAGGTCGTGATCTCAGGGTCAGGAGATTGAGCCCAGCATCAGGCTCTGGGCTCAGCACGGGGTCTACTTGAGACTCTCTCTCCCGCTCCCTCTACCCCCGACCCTGGCGCTCTCTAAAATTTAAAAAAAAAAAAAAAAAAAAAAAAAAAAAAAATCCTAAAAAAAAGAAAAGGGAGAGAGAGAGAGAACTGAAGACAAGAGAGTACAGATAACTCTTTGAAGTCATATGTATTGCTTTTGGGACAAGGGCTGACCACTGTTTCTCTAGCATCTCGCTAGTTCTCGGCACAGAGTACATGGGAGGTAAGCGTTACCAAAAGAACTTTGAATCTGACAATTGCCAATATTTCACACCATATTAAGAAACGTGATAGAGGGGTGCCAGAGTGGCCCAGTGGGTTAAGCCTCTGCCTTCAGCTCAGGTCACGATCCCAGGGTCCTGTGATCGAGCCCCACATCGGGCTCTCTGCTCAGCAGGAAGCCTGCTTCCCTTCCTCTCTCTCTGCCTGCCTCTCTGCCTACTTGTGATCTTTGTCAAATTAACAAATAAAATCATATTAAAAAAAAAAAAAACCCCAACCTGATAGCATCCTGCCCATCCCATTCTGTTCCTAACATCATTCTGTAGGCTCTTCCCTTCATCATGAGGATGAACTACAAAAACCTGAGTTTCTCGGGGCGCCCCGGTGGCTCAGTTAGTTAAACGTTTGCTTTTGGCTTGGGTCATGGTCCCAGGGTCCCGGAATCGAGCCCCGCATCAGGTTCCCTGCTCGGCAGGAGTCTGCTACTCTTTCTCCTCCCTGCTTGTACTCTACCTTGCTCTCTCACCGTCTCTCAAATAAATAAATAAAATCTTTTTTTTTTTAATGATTTTTTTCAAAGATTTTATTTATTTGTCAGAGAAAGAGAGAGAGCGAGAGAGCACAAACGCACAAGCAGGGGGACCGGCAGGCAGAGGGAGAAGTAGGCTCCCCGCTGAGCAAGAAGCCAGATGAGGGACTCAACCCCAGGATTCTGGGATCAGGACCTGAGCCAAAAGCAGATGCTTAACTGACTGAGCCACTCAGGCATCCAAAAAACAAACAAACAAACCAAAAAACCCAGAGTTTCTCTTCACCTTTCCGGGACCAAAATGTAATTAAGCAGCATTGTGACTGGTAGCTCAACCAAGAGAAAAGAAAAAGACCTTCCCTTTCTGCTCCCCAATTTTCCAGAGATTATATACGAGTCAACAAGTAAATTATGAACATGTCACCAAAGGGTTAAAAAAGCCATCAGTGGTCAAGTTAATTAAATAAAACATCTCATTTCAAACCTTCTGCTGAGGTCTTAAAAAAAGCCACTTAATTCCCGAAATGGGTAACTTGCCCTCCCCCAATGCAGGTACGCGTCCCTCTATTACAGTGTTAAAGCTCTGAGGCAAAAAGCAACGTCCAAAAAACGGTCAGGTTTCCCTACCTGACAAAACGTCTTCCGCTAATTCCTTTTCTCTTTCAATTTTTTCCTCTAGAGTTGAAATGCAGAATTCATAGCCAGCAAGAGCAAATTCCTGTCTGTAAAGCAAAGATCAGCAGTCGGCTGTTCACCTTTTCACAAACTCCTCTTGCATTCGCATTTTCCGGGCTTGGGTGTGAGCATTAGCAATACAGGAAATGTGAGATGGGGAGGGGGAATGCTGCTTGAAGTTTCCAAGGAGTCTGAGTCTGCCATTTTGTAGAAGTTTTTAGTCACCCATTTGACCTAGCTTAAGACCCAAAACGCTGAGAACGCTGCTGTCATCTTAATAAATGACAGAACCAGTAGCTTCCACCATGAGTTTGTCTCTCCATTTGGGAAGGCCTTACACTCACTCAAAGTAATGCTAATATGAACAGAGGCTCAGGCCACCTGCCCTAAGGATGCTAACTACTGATCTCGTGCAAGTTCTGAACAGGTTTATTAGCTTTGTGTATTAGCTTCCCAACCTGTTAGGTCTTTACTAGAAGCTTCTTTTATATACATGGAATTCCTGACTATGGCATTAGAAGGCACTGAGCCTGAATCCAGCCCGGGACCCTCAACCAAATGGAGAGGACACCTAAACATTAGGCAGACTGACTCCGGAGAGAACAAGCGTCAACCATCGGTTTCTAGAAAGAGATGCACGGACACAACAGAAATTCCTTCTGCATCCAGAAGTTCAGCCCCGGTTCTCGTCTTCGGTGATGGCTCTGGTATCTTAGCAGACGGGCACTCCAAAGCTCACCCCTTCTCCTCTAGTGCTTTGCCAGGGAGAACCGATGACCCCACTGCGGTACTCTGTTCCCAGAACAGAAGCTTCTTCAGACCAAACTTTGGCAGGAGGGACCCTATCCAGCCAGGACTAGGAGCTGGGGGAGGCTGCCCACTAGATGTTTCTAGTCAGAGCAAAATGTCTAGAAATAATTCCCTTACTAATATCAGCCTTCCTAAGCCCCAAGTCTAGTTACATATATTCCACTCTCTAAATGAAAAAATACTTTCGACAAGAGTACAGGGTAACCAACAGACCAATTATCAGGGGCCACTACTTCCACTTGTCCGAGACCATGAATTCGTCTTACTCTCCACTGGGATTAGCTTTGGCCTTCTTTTTATTCCAATTCATACCCCATCGACCTCCAGTTCTAGGACTCCTGCAAAAGAGACTGATCCAAGCTGCGATGCTCCCCAGCACGGGCCAACCTCAAAGCTCCTCAAGAGACTTGAAATCAAAGACCCTCCGAAGTCCTAGCCCATCTAGTGTCCATGCACATGCAGGCAACAAGCAGGTTCCGCTGACAGAGAAGGAGCTGGTGACCAGGGCAACAAGGACCAGAGCCAGGAGCCCTGGCCTCAACGAGCACTCCTGTTATAGCATCAGGTCTGATATCATTCCAAACCTCTGGTGCGCAACTACCACAGCACTGAAAACCTAAAAGCTACTCTCAGGTCCTCCCATAAATGCCCTCCAAGATACATAACTCTGTAGAAGTTCTTCGCTTACACTATAGGTTATTTCTTCTTTGAACCCCACCTTAAGAGGATGAAAGGCACCAGGCCTCACTCATCGGTGTTCCTGGGACCATGAGCACACATCCAAATTCTTTCCTAAAGCCTTTCCCATGTAGCAGAAGATTCTTCTTTACAAGAATTTAGATTCATCTAATACTTTTAAATTAAGACCAATTTTCCGTCTTACATATCCAGAGCTCACTCCCCTACTCCGAGGTATTTCCCCTTCTTAAAACTCGTCACCTGATCGCCTTTACATGCTTTAAAAACACTGCCCGCTGGACTAGCCACTGAGACACTCCCACATCAAGTCCCTCATCACCCAACTATGTATCTACCCTCCTGGTTTGTTGATACTTATATTCAAAAAATGGTTCCTTCAAAGTACATTACCCCAATGGCTTTTACACTGCTCCCTCCTCTTCTAGGAAGAGCTAAACTAGTTCTAACTATAACCTTCCTTCCCAGTTCAAGCAGGAACAGAAAAGTTGATTAGCTTTGTCACCGTGTGGCCAAAGGAGTGAGGGCTGTCTGCCCCACTCAGCAGGCTACTGGAAACAGCGGGGCAAAAACTAGAAGACTAAAGACTTCAAGGATGGGGTGGGGGGAACACTTTGAGTGTGATACCCAGTTTTTTTGAGACCCAGATAACTGGAAACTAAATGAAAATGATACAATATCCTAGAAAGTTCTCTGCCCATAGCCCAACTCCCTGGCTGCTGCCACACCTAGACTCTGACTCTACTTACCTATTCTGAGCAGCATAGATACTGGCCAGCTTTAGAGAGATTTCAATTATTGCATTGTCTTCCTGTTGGGAAAAAGGAAATGAAGAAAATTCACAGAAGCTCAATTTCCACATGGATAATTTCTGATCAACATCTAGACTGACTTTAGCCTAAAAGCTTTAGTCTTTATCCTTCTGGAAGAATTAGGCAACTGAACTTCTCAGCAACCGCGTTTTGCATGAATGAAAGACTGGTAGTTTATAAAGGGCCAAGAGGGGGAAAAAAAAATCCACCTTTTTTCACCAAAGCACATGTTGGGGGCTGAGTGGAGTTTTCAGGAAGCAAAACTATTTTGAAAACCTCTTCCACTAGGGCCCAATCCTAGGCAACGTCCTTACCTGTTGCATGCCCCCTCCAAGCAGGTAACTCATTGTTGCTTTAAAAAGTTTTTCTGCCTAGAAGCATAAGGAAAAGATTTTTCTTTTACTTGGGACCCTGGATTCTAAGTACTAGTCTGATGCAACATCCCCTTGTAGAACAATATACACACTCATATGCAGAGACAAATATCCTTGTGATGAGAAAACAGACAAAAACACCACGACCCCACCTCCTCTGGGAACCGTAAAAACTACCCTGTGAGAAGTAGAAACCAACTTCAGAAATTAACTTTTCATCTAGGGGTTCCTGGGTGGCTCAGTGGGTTAAGGCCTCTGCCTTCGGCTCGGGTCGTGATCCCAGGGTTCTGGGATAGAGCTCCACATCGGGCTCTCTACTCAGCGGGGAGCCTGCTTCCCTTCCTCTCTCTCTGCCTGCCTCTCTGCCTACTTGTGATCTCTGTCAAATAAATAAATAAAATCTTTAAAAAAAAAAAAAAAAAGGAAGAAAGATATTAACTTTTCATCTAAAGCTACTGTGGCAGAAGCTGCAAGCTATCCCCTAATTATTCACTCTCCCATCCTTTTAGTTACAACGTCTGTTCAGGTTTTTTTTACAGGTCAGCCTCCTTTGCAATTGGTACAGTCATATGATGAAGTCTTGGCCATGGGGTGCAAGTAGAAGGAACGTGAACAATTTTTAAATCCTATTTTATAAGGAAGCTGCCTGCCTGCCCCTTCCTGGAGGCTAGGGGTGAGCCAGCTCACCCATGCGGACAAGAACACAGCTTACAAGGAAGTCAAGCTTGTGGACCACTTCATGGAACAGAGGTACCTACCGTTCTTCAGTGCACTGCTACCTCTGGAATAATGCATTAAAAGAAATACACCCTCTTGTTGGGAGTCACTCTATTTTGGGGTGTCCTTTTTACAGCAGCTGAGCTTGTATCCTTCCTAATAAGAGTTCCCTTGAAGCTAGTCCTTCACAAACTCAAAATACCACAAAGTGATTTACTTACATTTTCAAGCTGACCCCGTATAAATGCTAAGTTGGCCATCTGAAAGCAAATTACAAATTGTTTTTCAGTTTAGAGCACTGCGTTCTTATTTCAACACTTCTAAGCTATGACTCCCTTTTGCTTTTACCCTCTGAATAAGAAAAAAAAAAAAAAGTTCCAAGAAAAAGGTATTTAACTAATTTGCGAAAACCGAGGGACAGCAACTGTGTGAGTGTAAATAGTTGCACAATCTGTGCGGACGATAAACCAACTTTGGATCCATTCATCACTGGAAAAAACAAATACTAACGACATTTATTTTTGGCCTGAGGTTTAAACTTCATGTAAGTGAAAGGTAATGCAACGTTAGTACCTAAGGGTCATATAATAAAAATCGAAACCAAAAGAAAACGTAGTAAAAACAAAACCCGGAGAGCTTCACAACACCCTGAAGGTCAGGAGGGTATATCAGGAGAGCGAACAACCCTTCTCTTACAGCCACCCTCCACCATCAGTGGCTCAAGACTGGTTAGAAGAGTTACCAAATCGTAAGTGTACGTGATGGCCTTCTTGTTATCACTCTGATAGGCAAGCCGAAGAGCGTCATGTAAAATCAGCTCAGCTTCTTCCGGCTCATCTTTCATGATGCTCAACTGAAAAGAGAAAACAAAGAGAGGGATAGAAAACGAAGTGTCAAGAAAGCAGATGTATGTGCTACCACTCAGAAGTGGGTACGGCCATACATCCCAATACACAGAAGACAGCCATCCGCTCATTCGTCACGTATGTACTGAATTCCAGCTGGGCACCAGGCTTTAGGTCTACAACGGTTGACAGGGAGGTCCTCTTCCTTTGCAACTATGTATTTGCAGCCACACGACAAAGTTCTGGCCAACAAATGCAGACAACAGGAACGTGAGTAATTTACTGCACCCTGTTTTCTAAGGAAGTTGCTTGTCTGGCATCTTTTTTCCCCTCCTACAGACTGAAGGTAATCCTACAGGACAAATAAACTTAATTATAACTAATGATATAAACTATGAAGAAAAGCAATGGGAATAACAATAAGGGGCCCCCTCTAAATGCGAGACAGAGAAGCCCTCCGAGGAAGTGACAGTTATACTGAGGCAGGAAGGATGACAGTCAACCAGGAATCATGGGGGAAAATGACCCAGAGAGCAGGGGATGAACAAAGGCCCAGCAGGCTGAAGAGAAGATTTTCCAAAACCATTCAAGTGATGAAAGGAAACACATGTGAAGGGCAGACCCGGCGAGCCAGAGAATTATTGCTAAATGGGTGGACAAGGCAGGGGTGGGGTAGGTCAGGCAGGGTCGTGCAGGCCACGGTAAGAAGTTTGGATCTTATCATAAATACAGCGGGAAGTCACTCCAAAGTGTTTAGGCGAAGAAGTGGTATGATCCAATTTTACATTTTTGGTTTTTTGACTTAAAAATTTTTTAAATATTTATTTTTAGAGAGTGTGCACATGGCGGGGGGGGTTCTCAAGCAGACTCCCCATGGAGTAGGGAGCTGGAAGTGGGGTTCGAGCTCACAATCCTAAGATCATGACCTGAGCTGAAACCAGGACTTCGAGACTTAATGGACAGAGCCACCAGGTGGCCCCCAGTTTACGTTTCTCGCTGCTGCATGGAGAGTGGGGCAACAGGGCAGGCAAAACTACCAGACAGCAGGCTGTGACAATGTGGCCAGGATGACAGCAGAGGACACAAAGAAAAGGGCAGATGGATTCCAGAAATATTCTGAATTTGGTGGCAAGAGTAACTGTTGCTGGGCTGGAAGGGTACTGAGAGGTACCCGCAAGTTTTAAGACCCTACTGAGTAGGAGGTTTCCAGAGGCAAAAACTGGTAGACAGTGGCAAGGAGAAGATGGTGAAGGAACGTGCTGGGGAGGCTTTTGAGATCAACAGTCAGGTGTGAGAGGCAGGTGAGGCCTCAAACTGGAGAGGGCATGTCAGTAGCCCACTGCAGCAGGGGAATATAAATTTGATGTCGTTAGCACCGAGGCGGCAGCGAGCCCGATGGCAGACAGGAGATAACCTGAGGACGACAAAATAGAAAAGAACGTGGAGAAGACTAAGGCTTTAGAGAAAGAACAGAACCAAACCGTGCACAAGCAACACTCAGGTGCATTTTCTGGACGCCACATACGTGCCCGATTCTCGACGCCCGATTCTCCCTTCGGTCCGGCTGGCTCCCTGACAAAAGCAACTACATTTCCGCTCATTTTGCTTGGATAAAAAAGCTAAGCCCGTGGTGCCCCCTCCATCTGCACTGGGGACTGCGGCGGTCTGCCTGCAGGCTCTGGAGTCTGACAAGCCTGGATGGATGCCAACACCGCCCCCCCCCCCCCCCCAACCATGACCCATCGAATTCCGGGCAATTCTACCCCCCGGAGCCCCCCATCCAGCGTTCAGGAAGCTGGAGCGAGCGCTGCGTACCCGCTGGGCCAACGAACGGGCCCCGCTCGCAAAGGCCGCCTCACCTTGGCTCTCTTCAGCAGCTGGATGATCTCAGCCTCGGTCTCGTCCGCCGCACCCTCGGCGGCGGCCCCGCCCGCTCCCTGCCGCTCCTCCTGCTCATCTGCCGCAGCGGGCCTCGAGAACCAGGCGAGCGCTGCGGGAAGGGGCTCTGAGGTCACCGGGCCCGGCCTGCGCCCCGGTCCCCGCCCGGCCGGCCCCGCCCGGCCCGCGCCCCTCACCTGCCAGCAGCGGCAGCAGGCCCGGGCCTCCGCCGCGCGGCGCGACTCGGAATGCCGGCACCGCCACCTCAGGCGCCCGGCTCCCCGCGGGCCCCGGGAGCAGGCGCGCCGAGCAGGTCCGGCACCGCCGCCCCGCGGCCCGCAGGAGGCCTCGGCCCAGGCTCGGGCTCAGGAGCCTGTACATGCTCGCGCGGCGTCCTCGGCGCACTGCAGGCCCGGCCGGGTCCCACGACGGCCCGCCCCCAACGCCGAGCGCCCGCCGGATTGGTCGAGCCGCGAGATGGGAGGAGGCGGCGTCGTGGCTGCCCGCATGCGCGTGACGCGCGCCGACGTCCCCGCGCCTCGCCCCGCCCCCGACCGACGGCGGGAATTCTCCCCAGAGCCGTCGGAGCCTCGCACCTGCTGGGCTTTCCCGGGAGGCTAAGTGCCTGGGACTCCATGGCCGTCGCCTTGCCAGGAGCCACGTTGCCCGCTGTCGTCGAGGAGCTCCTGAGCGAAATGGCAGCGGCGGTGCAGGAAAACGCGCGAAGTACGGGCCGGAGGGCGTGCGTAGCTGCGCTGTGGGCGGTGGACCTGGCCAAGCCCGTGGGGAGGCGAGGGGCGGAGTTCGCTGGGCCTGCGGGGCGCCGGTTTGGGCGCGCTGACCCCGCTCTCTTCGTCCTGGCCTCTCTGGGCTTTTTTCTCCTATGGCTCTATTCCCAAACCCCAGTTCGTAAAAAAAAAAAAAAAGAAGAAGAAGGAAAAGGAAAGCCAGATTTGTGTAGGGAGCAGGCAGTGGTCCCAGCAGGCGGGCGGGGCCCCAGAGGGAGAGAAGGGCTAGGCGCTGCCACGAGACCCGTGAGAAGGGGCCTCAGACCAGGAGGGTTCAAGAGACGGGAAGGGAGGCGAAGTTTTGAATTTTTAAGCTTGCCTGCGGTCTTTTTCTCCCCCCCCTCAAAATCTTAACTTTAACATTAATCTTCGCGTACACTGTATACGCCAGATAAATATTTCAGAAGCACGAAACGCAAACGCATACGCAAAGATTGGAGTAAATAGGGATATTGTGAGAGTACCTGTTTTTTTTTTCTCTGACCAGCAGAGGATGCTCTGTGACTATTGCTTACGAAAATCACCTAGGTGATTTTAGATGATAATTCTAATCAAAACGCATCGACCAGTTAGAAATACTCAGTCACTGTAAAAAACGGCCACTTAATAGCAGTGCAGACCTCAAAACTGCCGCTTTTTCACTTGGATAGCTTTTGTTTTAAAAGGACTGTTTTAAAAGGACCTCAAGAGGTCCCGTGTTTAAAGGATTGAGAAAAGTAACCCATACTGACACAAGCATTGTATATATATGTTTAAAAGATTAGGCCAGCCACGTATTCAGATATGTTCAGATTCCCAGAAAGGATGGGGGAAGAAAACAGTCTTGTTAGCTGAAACAGTGGTTGCCAAAAGTGGGCTCTGTCTGGATGGGTTAATCCATACACTGTGACACTCTTAGCTCATGGCTCAGGCAGAGGGACCACTGCCATTGATTCGTGTTTATTTCCAGCAGAGCCGTGTCCTGTTATTTTAAAATATTTGTTGTACATAGTGATACACTATTCCTGATCCCTATCCTTCGGTGATAATATTTTTAGATTGAGATTCTGAGTTTACCCTTGTATGATGATGTGATAGCAAATCACAGCTGGGCCACGTGGGAAGCTATGTTTACTTTTCCTTTCCTGCATAACTTTTTGGTCTTCCCAAGAATTAACAACTGTTCTGGTTGTGTGTGTATGTGTTTTAGTTTTCTTTTTTAAAAATATACGCATAATGTATTATTTGCTTCAGGGGTACAGGACTGTGAATCATCAGTCTTTTTTTTTAAGATTTTTTATTTATTTATTTGACAGACAGAGATCGCAAGTAGGCAGAGAGGCAGGCAGAGAGAGAGGGAGGGGGAAGCAGGCTCCCTGCCGAGCAGAGACCCGATGGGGTACTCCATCCCAGGACCCTGAGATCATGACCTGAGCCGAAGGCAGAGGCTTTAACCCACTGAGCCACCCAGGCGGCCCTGAATCATCAGTCTTAATGCAATTCACAGCACTCACGATAGCACATACTCTCCTCAATGTCCATCATGCAGCCACCCTATGCCTCCCCTTCCACCCCACCCCTCCGGGTTTTTTTAGTTGTCTATGTATGTATCCCTAATTCAATCTCAAATTCTTTACCCGTATTCTAAATCTCTACTGCAGGGGCACCTGGGTGGCTTAGTGGGTTAAGCCTCTGTCTTCGGCTTAGGTCGTGATCTCAGGGTCCTGGGATCGAGCCCCCGCATCGGGCTTTCTGCTTGGCGGGGAGCCTGCTTACCCCCTCTCTCTCTGACTACTTGTGATCTCTCTCTGTCAAATAAATAGATAAAATCTTTAAAAATAAATAAATCTCTATCACATATGTTTAGATGACTGAGATGTTCTTAGTAGTTCTAGTACCTTCCTGAAGAAGAGTACATGAGGTATACTTTTTGAAGCTTTACATGTCTAAAACTTTTTTTCCAACCTCACCCTTAAATGATAGCTTGGCTAGGTATTGAATTATATGTTGGAAATAATATTTCTTCAGACATCTGAAAGCATTATATCACTACCTTCTATCTCCTTAAACTTAACTTTAAAAGTTTGTGTTATTTTAGCAACGCTTCCCCTGCCCCCAGCTTCATTTCCACCTCCAGAGCTATCTGATGTCACCAATTTCTGAGGGTTTTAGGGGAAAGAAGGTAGTGGACTTTGGAGCATAAATGAGCTTATTGTTGTTTGGCTCTCTCCATTGCTAGCTTAGGATTCAGTTTCCTTGGGTCTTGTAAATTATTTTCCAGTATATCTTAGCTGTTTCTGCCTGCCCTTTCATCCTGAGGAGCTTATGCTTTTAAAGAAAAATACTTTTATTATTGTTTAGTGGGGTATTTGGAAGGAGTAAAGTTAGATGCATAGACTTAATTCACCATCTTACACAAAAATCTTTTTGGTTATAGACTTTAAATGATTTTTGTGTCTATGGCCACTGGTTTAACATGATTAACTTTCTTCCCATTCATGTTTTACAGTTCCTGACGAGCATCTATTATCGTAAGTATATATCCTGTTAGAATTGGGTTTTTTTTTTAACCATTAACGTGTTCTATTTAATTTTTTTTTAAGATTCTTATTTATTTATTTACTTATTTAGAAAGCTGGGGGAGGGGCAGAGAGAGAGAGAGAGAGAAAGAGAATCCCAAGCAGACTCCTTACTGGGTCTAGAGTCTGACAAAGGGCTGGATCCCACCACTCTGAGATCATGACCTGAGCCAAAATCAGGAGTCGAATGCTTAACCAACTGAGCCACCCAGATGCCCCAACCATTAATGTGTTTTGTTTTGTTCTGAAGATTTTATTTATCTTGGGCGCCTGGGTGGGTCAGTGGGTTGGAGCCTCTGCCTTCGGCTCGGGTCATGATCCCAGGGTCCTGGGATCGAGCCCCGCATCGGGCTCTCTGCTCAGTGGGGAGCCTGCTTCCCCCCCGCCCCCGCCTGCTCTCTGCCTACTTGTGATCTCTGTCTGTCAAATAAATGAATAAAATCTTTAAAAAAAAAAAAAGATTTTATTTATCTTGTGCACGAGAGATCATGCACAAGTGGGGGGAGAGTCAGGCAGAGGGACAAGCAGGCTCCTTGCTGAGCAAGGAGCCCAATGAGGGATGTCCCAAGACCCTGGGATCATGACCTGAGCCGAAGGCAGATACCCAACCAACTGAGCCACCCAGGCACCCACCATTAATGTGTTTTAAAAGCCAGATCCTTTCAACACCAACTCTTTATTTTTAAGAAATTTTTTTTAAAGATTTTATTTATTTATTTGACAGAGATCACAAGTAGACAGGCAGGCAGAGAGAAGGGGAAGCAGGCTCCCCGCTGAGCAGAGAGCCCAATGCGGGGCTCGATCCCAGGACCCCAAGGTCCCAACCCTAGCCGAAGGCAGAGGCTCAACCCACTGAGCCACCCAGGCGCCCCACCAACTCTTTATTTTTAAAAGTACTCTACTAAGAACAATGTTTTCTTGACATTGTTAAAAATCTGTCCAAAGCCAATACCATTCTTGATAATACAAGGTATTCTTGTGTTGTCCTATTTGCCTCCCCCCTTTTTTTTAACATTGTTAAAGTAGGGGTGCCTGGCTCAGCATCTGACTCTTGATTTCAGATTGCATCATGATCCTGGGGTCCTGGGATTGAGCCCCACATTGGGCTCCCCACTTGGTAGGGAGTCTGCTTGTCTCCCTCTCCATCTGCCCCTCGTCCTGCTCACGTGCAAGCACTCTCTCTCATAAATAAATAAATCTTTAAAAAACAACAACAAAAAAACATTGTTTTAGTAGTTGTAGTTGTTATACTGACACATGAAAAAGAAATTAGAAGCATGCCTATCTGTAAGGAAAGAGTTACCATTATTTGTAGATGATAGAAATGTTTAAAATCCAAGAGAATAAAGGTTTTTTATTACAGAGATTAAAAATTATTTGCCCTCATACACAAAGTTCAAAAATATAGCTACAACAAAAAAGTGAAAGCTACCTAGGAATGAGTAACATTTAATTGTGTATGCATTTGTACACTTAATGTTTAATAGTTTAGAAAGATATACACCAACCTGTGCCAGTGATGATTTTAGAAGAAAGAAATGAGAATTTAGGTTTACAAAAGGTTTTAACATTTCTTTACTAAATTTTTATAGCGATTATTATTAGAAAATAAATTACTTTTAAAACAAAGAAAATGGGCAAATAATAAAAATGTAAATTAGCAAAAACTTTGGGGAAAAGGGTGAATCTTCCTAGTGATCATAAATATACAAATTAAAATAATGACACAACTTCCCATCTTTAAAACTGGCTACCACAAAAAAGATGTTGGTAAGAATGTCCCAGATGGGGGCACCTGGGTGGCTCAGTGGTTAAGCGTCTGCCTTCAGCTCAGGACATGATCCCAGACTCCTGGGATGGAGTCCCACATCGGGCTCTCTGCTGAGCAGGGAGCCTGCTTCTCCCTCTGCCCCTCCCTCCTGCGGATGCACTCTCACTCTCTCTCTCTCAAATAAATAAAATCTTTAAAAAAAAAAAAAAAAAAAGAATGTCCCACATGTTGCCAAGAACATGGAGAACAGGATAATTGATACCCTCTTGGTAGAAGTGTCAACTGGGAACTAATCTGGCCACAGTCCATGGAGCTTTAAAACATGCACATGTTCTTTGGTTCACAAATTCCATTTATAAGAGTGTATCCCAAAGAAGTGCTCATGCATGTTTATCAAGATTTTACAGTGAGTATATTCATACAGTATTGCTTATGGTAGCAAAAACGAAAACAGACCCACCTGGAAACAGTCTAGTGATTCACATTAGATTTAAGAAACTCTAGTTATCTAAACACAGAGTTTGGGGAGAAGCAAGATACTTTATCTTCATAGTGGAACTCTTTGTAACCATTAAGAGTGAATAAAAAAATACTCAGGAGGGTGTTCACCATAAAGTTACAAAGACAGGTATAAAAATTCTTACTAGATTCATTTTTACAGTTAATCGTGATTAATTGATAAAGTTATGACCAAATTTTATTTTTCTTTGCCCATAGAAAATCTTCATAGTGGAACTCTTGGTAACCATTAAGAGTGAATAAAAAAATACTCAGGAGGGTGTTCACCATAAATTATAAAGTTACAAAGACAGGTATAAAAATTCTTACTAGATTCATTTTTACAGTTAACCATGATTAATTGATAAAGTTATGACCAAATTTTATTTTTCTTTGCCCATAGATAATCTTCATGTTTTAATGAAAAAAATTTAAAATTCTTCCCATTCTACTAGTTTGTTGTATCAAGAGACTAGATTGTTGGAAAATGAAGAATTTGAACATTTTAATCTTGAAGATAGTAGCTCTATCTTCATGTTTTGTGTCAGATCACATGAGTTGTTTAAAACATTAACTTCTATTTTAGTTCAACTCATCCATTTTATTTTCCAGTTTATAAAAATAACTCCTGCTCATAAAAAAAAAAAAAAAACGTTCTTGGTTGGGGCACTTGGTGGCTCAGTCAGTTAAACATTGGCCTTTGGCTTGGGTCAGGATCTCAGGATCCTGGGATTGAATACTGCATTAGGCTCCCTCCTCAGCAGGGAGCCTGCTTCTCCCTTTGCCTCTCACTCATGCTTTCTCTCTCAAATAAATAAAATACTAAAAAAATGTTCTTGGAAGATAAAGAAAACATGAAAAGCATCAACAATCATACCACCCAGTGATAATCACTGTTACAGTTTGTGTTTGCCTTTTTTTTTTTAATGTTTTATTTTGAGATCATGGATTTTTCTTTAAACATTTTTTTTAAGATTTTATTTATTTGTCAGAGAGAGTGAGCACAGGCAGACAGAGAGGCAGGCAGAGGCAGAGGGAGAAGCAGGCTCCCTGCTGAGCAGGGAGCCCAATGTGGGACTCTATCCCAGGACGCTGGGATCACGACCTGAGCTGAAGGCAGCCGCCTAACCAACTGAGCTACCCAGGCGTCCCAGAGATCATGGATTTTCTTAAAAAAAAATTTTAACATGGGGCGCCTGGGTGGCTTAGTTGTTAAGTGTCTGCCTTCAGCTCACGTCATAATCTCAGGGTCCTGGGATCGAGCCCTGCGGGGGGGGGGGGGCCCCTCCTTGCTCAGCGGGAGGCCTGCTTCTCCCTCTCCCACTCCCCGTACTTGTGTTCCCTCTCTTGCTGTCTGTCACATAAATAATCTTAAAAAAATTTTTTTTTAAACACGAATGAGAGTTTCTGAATACCTAATTTTGTACCTAATCTTTCTCACCTATCATAAGAATTTTCCCACATTTTGGGGGGATTTTTTCTGATCTGTCATTTAAAGGCGGATAGCCTTTATTACTAATACAAAAAGTACAAATGACTACCCATCAGATGCTCAACATGAAAGTCTGATAATACTCATATTGGTTAGGATGTGGGGAAACTCGAACTCATGAAGTGCTGGTGGGACTGCAGTTCCCACTGTGGAAAGCTATTAGCAACACCTATGAAAGCTGAAAAATGGGGGCGCCTGGCTGGCTCAGTGGGTTAAAGCCTCTGCCTTCGGCTCAGGTCATGATCCCTGGGTCCTGGGATGGAGCCCTGCATCAGACTCTCTGCTCAGCAGGGAGCCTGCTTCCCCCTCTCTCTCTTGTCTCTCTGCCTACTTGTGATCTCTGTCTGTCAAATAAATAAATAAAATATTTTTTTAAAAAACATGAAAAATGCACACATCTTAGGGCCCAGCAAGTCTAATATAAGCAGGAAGAATTCCCACCTAAGTGCATTAGGGACATGTACAGGGATAACTGAGTATTATTTATAATGTAGAACAGAAACGGAATGCCTATCAGCGTACTTAAAAAATAAAATACATGTACACACAGTGGAATGTTACTCAGAAATTAAATAAAAAAATACGTATGTTAACATGCATCATTTTCAAAAGCATACTGAATAGGAAAAACCAAGTTGCCAAAAAAAGCCTACAATATATCTTTTTGTGTTCTAAAACTTAGGAAACAAGATCACATGCAGGTGTGTGTATATGTATGTGCTGTGTATACATATTCAGTGTACTTTGTCAAATACAATAGAAAAACATTAGCAGGAAGGAAACCAGTGCATGCAGTCACCTCGGGTGAAAGTTAATTGGGAAGAACAGGAAGCAGTATAATGTGTAAACAGAGCTTTTTCCGTAAACATGTTAACATTCTAAGGGGTTTAACGTTACATGGGTTTTTGCTGTATTCTTTTTTTCCCAAATTAAAATGAAATTTTTTTTTTTTTAAATGCCAAAGGTGGGGCGCCTGGGTGGCTCAGTGGGTTAAAGCCTCTGCCTTCTACTCAGGTCATGATCCCAGGGTCCTGGGATCGAGCCTCACATTGGGCTCTCTGCTCAGCGGGGAGCCTGCTTCCCCCTCTCTCTCTCTGCCTGCCTCTGCCTACCTGTGATCTCTGTCTGTCAAATAAATAAATAAATAATCTTTAAAGATAAATAAATAAATAAATAATGCCAAAGGTGATCCCTTGGGTTAAGTTCCTATGGTGACTGTGAGAGTGGGCGTCTAATGGGAAAACCTCTTTGTTTCCCAGACTGAAGTTCATCTTCGGCTCATCGGCAGTCCAGGCTTTGGACCTCGTGGACCGACAGTCCGTCACCTTAATCTCATCACCCAGTGGGAGGCGTGTTTACCAGGTAGAAATCTAGAGGTGGGGATCAGCTCAACAAGGAAACACCCCTGACTACCAAATGTTTTCAGGAATCCCAGTATATCCTGGCTATTGAAAAGCAAATGACCCAACTTCAGAAAATCAGTGTATTAGTAATGAAGATAAGCTAACTAAGACCTCTTAACGCTTCCTGGTAGCAATGTACGGAACTGGCAATGACACAGAGAAGCTGTTTTCTCAAGTCTAATGGCATGGAGTTGATTTTTGCTTCCTTGTGTTTGACAACAGGCACTTTACTCCCAAAAACTGTGTTGACACTTCCACCTTGTTCCTTATCTCTTGCCTACAAGCAAAAGCCAGGATGCATTTTGAGGTCCTTCTGCATGCTCAGATTCATCTACCACATCAGGCCCCACATCAGGCTCTCTGCACAGCAGGGAGCCTGCTTCCCCCTCTCTCTCTGCCTGCCTCTCTGCCTACTTGTGATCTCTCTCTTTAAGAAAAAAAAAGAACAAAAACTGCTGCTCAAGGCAGATTGTCTACCTGGACTTTAGTTTTGTCCTCTAGAATTTAATATGCATAGATCTGTAAAGTGATAGCCTCTTATCAGACTCTGAGAGACTCAGATTTCCATGTGTTGTTGATAATCCGCCCCCCCCCCCCACAACCCTCCAAGCCCAAGTAGGTATTTATCTTGCAGGAAACTGAGATGCAAAAAAGTAAACTCACGTCTAGCCGCTGGGGTTTGTAACTGCTGTCCCACACTGCCTATCTATAAACAGTGGGCCACACCCCAACCCATTCCCACTCCCCTGCACCCCAGCCTAGTTATATGAGACAAGGGTAAGTGTCATGGGATTGAGGGAGGGGAATCTTGTGAATGAAATAAAAATACGGGCAGTGTTCTCCCAAAATTTTGAGTCCGGGGGCACCTGGCTGGCTCAGTGGGTAGAGGGCATGACTCTTGATCTCAGGGTTGTAGGTTCAAGGCCCACTTTGGGTATAGAGATTACTTGAAAATAAAATATTTAAAAAATTGTGTATGTGTGTATCTGGCTTGGAAGGAGTAAAGAAGCCATCAGCTCTAGTATGTCATCCAGGTCTTGCTGAAAACGAGGAAGTAGGAAGTTTTTCAGCATTTGGATTCTGGTTTATTTATGATGAACTTCTCAGAGCTGAGACCATGTCCATTAATTCCTAGAGAGGGAGGAAAGCCTCCTTGGGCAAATAGGTACCTTTGCTTAGTGAATTAGCTGGCTGTTCCACATTATAGCATAACTTAACCCATCTGGTAAAATCTTCATCCGTTTCTTCATTAAGGAAAATGGGGTAGTTAATGTTGAGTGCCGGAGTTAACACTGCATTTACGTAAAAGAAGCCACCTGTTAGAATTTTGTCAGGGCGAACTCAACAGATTAATAATCAAAGCTATTAAATGATGTTGTACCTGAAGAGGTGTTTCCATTTTACTTCTTAGTGTTTTTATTTGGCGTTTCTAGGGAGCTAAAATACCTGGAACAAGAAGGGCCCTTGAGTTTTTCCCACATCTTTTAGTTTCAGATTTTTTTTGTCTTCATCCCAGTATTAGCATAACACTTGACCTGTGCAAACAGACTTCTAAGTGCCCTCCAGTTCTAAGATCTAGTCATTAGTTAAAATCTTAAAAGGTTTTATTTGAAATAATTCAATTCTTGTTGACTTTTTGTTGCTCCCAAGGTTGCCACTTGTTTAACTTTCATCATTCCCATCCTGTATTCTATTACATTGCTTTATTCGTCATAAAAACGCAAACTTCCTAGTACTGTGACTTTCAGCTTGGACTTTGATTTAAATGAGGCTGTAGAACTCTTATATACACTCTCAAATTAACCTTAATGGTCTCATTGTACACTAAGATAGTCCGAATTTGGCTTAAGTAAGAAGTTCTCTGAGATGATAAAAGTTGAGTCAGACACTGTCTGACCCCCCCACTGGTCATCTTCCCGTAGGTCATGCTATAGGACTGTTACTGTCTTCCAGACACAGCAGTAATTATTCCAAAGTCGTCACTGTGCTGTTGTCACCTGAGTTGCTTGTCTGTAGACTTTCTGGGGTCACCTAGAGAGAGGGATGCATCGGTCAGGAGAGCCTAAGTTAGGAGGGGGCAACCATGACTCCCAAATGTCAAAGGCTTCCAGAAACAAAAATGTATGTCTCAGTCATGCTTCCTGTCGGTTCCGAGTTGGCTGTCATCTACTCAGAACGTCTTCACTCAGCGATCCGCGTCGGCGCAGCAGCCCTTCTCTGGAGTATTGTGGGTCTCACAGCAGAGAGGAGGAGGATGTGGTCGGTGCCAGTTTGTCGTTTCCGCGTGGCTACACCTATCTTCCCGGCTAAAGCGGATCACACAGCCAGCCGGTATTTAATAGGGCAGCAGTGTATGATCTCTCAGAGGCACTGAGCACAGGGCACAACAGATCATACAGCTGAGCACTGGGACGGCTCCTGAGAGGCCGGCAGCAGCCGTAAAACAGACTGTGCTTGCAAGCGGACGACCGTCCAGGTGGGTCGTGCTCCTTAGAAGCCGCCGGAACCACAGCCGACTTCCCCCAAGGGAGGCTCCTACGAGTCTACTCACGGCCTCCGTTTCCTATTACCCAGATGTTTCTCTTTTAAAAGCTCTCTCCTTCTGGGGATAAACCTTGCAGACTGTGAGTGAGACAAGTGGGGGCAGAAGCGGGGGCAGTTCTGGGAGGGGAGGGCATTTTTCCATTCAAGGCTGAAGCCACTGAGTTAGATGATCCCTGAGGTCAATTTCCAGTTGTAAACATTTCTAACTCAGATTTTTGCCTGATTACTGGGTTCATTAGTCATCTGATGGCTAGATAAGGAAGAAGCAAATTCACAATTTACTATCTCTGGACAGTGTTCACTGCCTCAGGCAGTTGAACATTGTACTTTTAGTCTTAGCCAGCCCCTGACAGGATCAGGCACGGGAGCATCTGTAGACTCTCTCCCCCTCCCTAAGTTACCTGGCACCGGTTTGGCACAGTCCAGAGTGTTCTGAAGGACTGGAGACCTGCAAGAAGCAGCCGGACAATGATTCAAGTCATTATAGAATTCCAGAGGCTAATGCCTGCTTAAATTTACACCTAGAGAGAAGAGGTAGAGGAAAGGAAGGAATCTAACATTTTACCTATTGGTAATGGTTCGGAGACCCAAGAATTGTTCACATCACTGCTGGATGTTGGGTTTTTCCCAGGATGAAGTAGAAAACAGTCTGGTTTCAGACTGTCATCACTTTGACAAACAACGCTGGAGCTATGGTCTTCTGTTGCGGCCTTCCCAGTGGCTTTATTCTTTGCTGGGGAGGAAGAGGGGAGATTTTCAAGAGTGCTGACTCTTTGTTGGGGGGGGGGTGGGGGGGAGTCCTGGCCTCTTCATTTAATCTGCCCATCTCAGAGCCTAAAACTAATTTGAAAGCTGTGGGTTAAATTCCTAAGTGGCAGGTCATGGTAAAATACTCCTCAGGATGTTTTTACTTCCTTGGATACTGATTTTACACTTCAGGCCCCGGACCTTTTTGGTTTGGGCTGCTTGGAGGTGGAGAGATGTCCACGAGCGATTTCTTCGGAAGGTTTGTCCATTCATGCCACAGACACATCATAATTTCCCTGTAAGCCTGTCTGCTTCTGTCCCCCGACTACCAACAGTTTGTTGGTAGTTTGTTCCTGGACTAGACCTCTCACCAGCCCCTCAAGTATCTGCATCCTCCTTCCATCCTGCCGGGTGAATAGGCAGTTCCAGGCTTGCCTCGTTCGGAGACCTCCACCCTGGCCGCTGAGTCATCCCTTTTGCAAGATTCTTTGCTTTGTTTGTTCTCCCTGCTCTCAAATGTTTTTTAAGAGCCGTTTCCTTCTTCTGAACACCCGTCTTCCCACCGCACTGCTCACCGGTTTTCACACTTGGTTTGGGTGTGTGGCGGAAGCTTTAGAAACGCTCACACCTACTGTGAGACACGAAAGGTGAAGAAACAGCAAAGTGTTCGGAGGGGACTGGTCCTTCCACCTCTCTGCAGGCAGCCCATGGAGCGGGCTCTCTAAACCGCTAGGGAGAGGACTAAGGCCGTTTGTACAGGAGGTTTAGCTGGTCTGAAACTCCAGTTTTGCTGTATCTTCATACAGCAGAGCCCCGAGTCTGCACACAGGGAAGTGGGGGTCTCCCCTTTTGGGTCAGACGTTACTGCAGTTCCCAGCGCGATTTGCAGGGCAACCCGGAGTCCGCAAATGGATAAACTTAAGGGAAGGGAGCCGTTTCCCACCACACCTCTCCCGAGTCTGATTTCATCTGTCCTTTTCCTTCTAGGTACTTGGAAGTTCTGGTAAAACATACACGTGTCTGGCTTCTTGTCATTACTGCTCGTGTCCTGCCTTTGCCTTCTCAGTGCTGCGGAAGAGTGACAGCCTGCTGGTGAGGAGGGGAAGGCTTTTCCCTCTCTGGGCAGATTAGCAACTTCTTGGCCCTTACCGGGTGGCTTAAGAGTTGTACAAAAGAGGAATTTTTTTTATTTAAGATTTTATTTACTTAAGAGAGAGTGTGCGTGCGCGCACACACAAGCTGGGTTGAAGGGCAGAGGGGGAAGCAGGCTCCACACTGAGCCGGGAGCCCGGTGCGGGGCTCAATCCCGGGACCCCAAGATCATGACCTGAGCTGAAGGCAGACGCTCAACCCACTGAGCCACCCAGCCGCCCCCAAAACAGGAATTTTTACCATGTATCGAAACAGATGGCTGACTGTTCTTGCTTGCAGAGTCCTCTCTTTAGGGATTACCCACCCCCCAGAATGCAGGGTCATTTTTAGATCTATATCCATTACCAAGTCTTTTATTTAAAGGGTCACAGATGAAGCTTTGGGGAGGGCAACAAGGTAATCTCGAAAGCTGGCTCTGGGGAATTAGCCCAACAAAATCAGGAGCTAAACTGGTCGTCGGCGCGTCTGTGTATCCCCTGCTGCAGCTATGAGGTGTTCTTCCCACTGCTCGTCGGACGGCCTGGCAGTGAGCCACGCCGGCCTCACACACGAGGCAGGAGAGCACGTGGCGACTTTTGCCCACTTCACAGGCACCCAGAACATCAAGCAGGAGCAAGACATACTCCCGTAACTCCTTATTTCCGAGGAGAAAGCACTACCCACCCGAGAGCAGGTAGCTATTTTGTAAGACCTGCCAGGGAAGATTACAGTACCTGCTCCACGCTTCCCCCCTCTCTCTCACTGTTAAGCTGGTAAACATCCTGGGAACGGGGGCGGCTGGTTGCGCATCTCGTCATTCAAAGACCAGCTTCACAGCTGGTGTGTCATAGCTGTGCTCCGCCCATGAAGGGACAGGATCAAACTTCGGGCCCCTTCGGTATCTGAAGCTGAGCGTGCTCTGTGACAGAAGGTCCCGCATGTCCCCAGAGGTGTGTCCAGGCTGCTACAGGGGAGGGTTCCACCACCCACCAGCAGGTCCCCCGCAGGGCAGAGCGCAGTGAAGGGAGCAGACCACAGACTGGGCGCGTGGGTAGAATGGGGCTGAGGCCTGTCCTCGTGGGCTGGCGGACGGATTTCAATGAGCTCATCTGCGAGAAGCACCGAGCGACACGGCAGGTCAGGGAACGTTCAGCATCGCCGTCAAGAGCGTTCTGAAGGCTGGAAGAAGGCAGCAGAGCGGAAGATGAAAATGAGGGGCCCGTCTTGCTTCTCACTGTGGGCTATAAACCCTGTGCCAGTCCCAAAACAACAGGCAAAGTAAAACTTCCTTTATCCCCTCGGATTTCTAGAAGGAACACATCATGTCCTCCTCAGCTGCACTTTTTAGGCAGTGAGTCTGTGACGTGTGGGCCCGACTCCCTCCCTAGTAAGTGCGGCGAGCGGTCCTGGTCAGTGTCAGCCCTGCCCGCGTCTAACAGGTTTGTGTCTTGTGTTCCAGTGCAAGCACCTCCTGGCGATTTATCTTAGTCAGGTGATGGGAACCTGTCGACAGCTAACGGTCTCTGACAAGCAACTGACTGACCTATTACTCATGAAGAAGAAACAAGCAGCACAGAAGATATAGACGCTGTTATCTTGTAGACATGGTTATCTTTCAAAACAGGAGTCCCACCCAGAAACACATTTAACCTGCCAAGCTTCACACGGAAGAGAGGTGAAATAGATCTTCTGGAGACTTCTTGCCACTGCCTCTGTTCCCTCACGGGTAAGAGACTCAGCTGCACGCCAGATGTGCGTGTGCTTTGAAGCTCTGCAATTTCTCCTGAAAAGTCTTGAGCCTCGCGGGTCGGCTTCCTAGCCGAAGCAAGCCTCCGACCAAACAAAGCCAAATACCATGTCCTGTCTGCGGTTAGATTTTTTTTTTTTTTAATTTATTTGAAAGAGAGAGATGGCACAAGCCGGTGGCGGGGTGGCAGGCAGAGGGAGAAGCCAGCCCCCCGCTGATCCGGCAACCCAAGTCGGGACTCAATCCCAGGACCCCGCAATCATGACCTGAGCTGAAGGCAGCCGATTCAGCGGCTGAGCATCCCGGGCGCCCGGTTAGATTCTTAAGTCCCTGAAGTACTAGTAATTTTTAAGAGGCTAGAATAGTAGATGGCACTGGTCAGGTGAAGCTCAGATGGGCGTTCCTCCCTTTCCCGGGACCCAGAAGTTTGTCTGCAGCAAAGCAGAGGAGAGACGTGGAGAAGCACAGGCGCACCAGTAGCCTCCGTGGCTCTCGTTTCCAGGAGCTGCAGCCGGGCCGCGGAGCCGGGGCCAGAGCGCGCACCGGCTGTAGCGTTAGACAGCGGTGCCGTCGGCAGGGGAAGGGGCGGTTTGCTCTGCCTGCACTGCAGAGCCCTGCGCCAGGCCTAAGGAAGGAAGGGGCTACACGTCCCGCCCGGAAGGAAGCCCAGAAACTACTAGGGGTTTCCAGTCTGAAGAAGAAAAACGCCCGAGAGCTACCAAGAGACGTGTTTTAGGAGGGAGAGAGATGGGACTCGGTTGGACCCAGAGAGAGTGAAGGAGCCGTGACCGTAACCGTGAAAATGAGACCGCGCAGCCAGGAGAACTTAGTAAAGCTGTTCCCGGCCGGAGCAGGAGCCTGGAGGGCCACGAACACTCTGGCTCCGCGGGGGCTCATAAATCTGCAGTGTCCTCATCCTCCCGGGTTTACTGCAGAAGGAAATGCAGCCGCGAACAAACAGAAGAAACACCTTACAGCCTGGGGAACGCCCGGCCCCAGAGACGTGTGGCGCCAGGCGAGCACACGCGGGGAAAGGGTGCCGGTGGCACCATGCGGGGGGGTTGGGCAGAGCCCTTTATTGCTGCAGATAAAACCTGTCAAGACTCGACTCCTTGGGAAACTTGAGCTGGGTATGAACTTCTTTTAAGCAGTCTTCACAATAAAGGAAAGGATGTGGGGTGCAGCACGCTAAACTTGTTGTGAAGTTTTATTTTGATCTCACGTAATAGAGGTACATGGATGTAGGATTTTTACTTATTCACATTTTCACACTTGGGCTCCAGGGACGTGGCCAGACTGCAGCCTGGTGGGGATACGCGTGACTAACTAAGGGCAGAAGGGGCAGGTGCCATCTGGGAGGGGAAGGATCGCATGACCCCAGTTCTTCCTCTAGGGTGGTTTGCAGTACATGGAGAACAATGTTCCCAAAGACTGACAGTCCACTTAGGAATTTACAAGAGTAGCATTTCCCCAAATAAATATAGAAGTCTGTTAACTGAAGAATTATACTTTTAATTTTCCTGGTCACCTTCCTAGGAACAAGTATCTATTTTTAGTATGTTCAACTCTTATTCTTTCACTGCCTCTGCATTAAAAAAAAATTTGTATTATAATAGTTCACAGTGTTTTACAGTAAAATAATTTCATGTTCTACCATGAAAAGACGCAGACTCTTAAAAACGAAACAGTCTTTTACAATCCAGGCCATTGGCATCATCCACACAGCAGCCAGAACGAACCAGAAATACATTTGTGAACCTCTGCAGCCGAATAATAACGTGCATATTAGCTAGGTATGTGGTCACTCAAAAGAGAGGTGGCCCGTGCCCGAACACGGTGTCGCTGTCTTTAAAAACAGGAATGAGCCAGTCAGGTCCCGTCCCTTTGTTTATTGAGAATGTGTGCCTTCTTGAAGAGGCCGGGCCCTAGGTCATAGGCCCACATCAAGGGCTGGCTGTGCCCCTGCCTGCCCATTCCCGCTCTTGAGGACATCCGTCTGGCAGAGAACGTACCTGGAGATGATTTTGTGAAAAGTGTAGCGGAAGTCCCGGTTCCGATAGGCATAGACAACGGGATTGACCACCGAGTTGGCATGTGACAGGAGAATGGCCGTGTTCATTACCCACTTGGGCTTAGCCTTAGACTTGGCTGGCTGAAAGAAGGTGACACAGTTGATGGCATGTACTGGCAGCCAGCAGAGAGCAAAGATCCCAACGATCATGGCCAGGGACTTGGCGGCGTGGATCTCCCGCTGGATGACGGTCCTGGAGTGGTCCATCAGCTCCGTGCGCTGCAGCTGCCTGCAGGCCTCCAGGAAGATCCTGATGTAGATCACCAGCATGATGAGCAGCGGGGGCAGGACACACCCGAAGAAGTTGAAGTACACCATGTAGCTCATGGGGACCACGTTCTCAAACAGGCACCGCACGAGGCAACAGCTTGCGTTTGTGGCTCCATCCCAGGGCTCCGTGCAGTTGGCGGCAGTGTTCTTACTGTTCCACCCCAGGAACGGGGTCAGTCCGATGCCAAAGGCGAGGACCCAGAGGACAGCGATGACTCTTCTCGCTCGAGTCCCAGTGACCAGACTCTTATATCTGTTCAAAAGAACGGCACCCGTTATCGTCAGCGCACAGAACTGTCGCCAGAGCCCGAGACCCCACCTCTGCTTTGTTCCGTGGTCCTCATCCCAGCAACCTTTAGGGCCGCCCTCAGAGGGCAGCAGCCTTTTACCCCCAACATGAACACCTCCCAATAGGTATGAACGACTTTGCTCTAACAAGCTCAGAGTTTCATCCTTGACCTCCTAGCTCAGCTCTGCTGAGTGACGGATCCTGGTCAGTGAGAACAAGTGGAGAAGTCTTCGGGGGCCCTTTCTAATGACCCACATCCCAAGCTGTGTGTCTAGGTCTTCTGTAAGGCACTGTTCTAGGTGCTGAGCCGCACCAGCGAAGAACAGCGAAGATCCCTGCTTAGAAAGCACTTACATTCTAGTAGGGGAGACCAGAGATCCCACACCACGAATCTGCTAGTCAGTTCTACAGCACGCTAGCAGGAGAGGTGTAGAATGAAAAAAGGAAAAGCAGAGTATGGAAGACCAGGACCGGCAGAAACTGGAGTTTCCAAGAAGTCAGGCAAAGGAGGTTTCACCGATCTGGTGAGACTTGAACAAAAGCCTGAGGAGGGGCGCCTGGGTGGCTCAGTGGGTTGAGCCTCTGCCTTCGGCTCAGGTCATGATCCCGGGGTCCTGGGATCGAGCCCCGCGTCGGGCTCTCTGCTCGGCACGGAGCCTGCTTCCCCCTCTCATTCTGCCGGCCTCTCTGCCTACTTGTGATCTCTCTCTCTTTGTCAAATAAATAAATAAAATCTTTAAAATAAATTAAAAAATTTTTTAAAAGCCTGAGGAGGTGAGCATCAGAGCCCCCCAGGGGCCCAGGGGCCCAGCGCACTACTGGGCCACCCGAGGCAAGAATCCCGGCCTCCCACACACACAGAGAGGTCTGTCTCCGACTGTGCCAACAGTCAGCTCTGGAAACTGCCGGAGAACAAGACATCTGGCAACATCCCCCTCTCTGCTAGCAGTGAAACCGATAAAAACGGGAAAATACTGGGGCGCCTGGGTGGCTCAGTGGGTTAAGGCCTCTGCCTTTGGCTCGGGTCATGATCTCAGCCCCACGTCGGGCTCTCTGCTTGCAGGAAGCCTGCTTCTTCCTCTCTCTGTCTCTGCCTGCCTCTCATGCCTGCTTGTGATCTCTGTCTGTGTGAAATAAATAAATAAAATCTTTAAAAAACAAACACAACAACAAAAAACGGGAAAATACTGTAGCAAATATTAAATAATTCTTGTAGTTTTAAAACTTGGAATCTTGTTTAAAATTGCGAGAAATCAACACGTAATTTAGAGATTTTGCCATAAACTATTCCATATATGGTTTATAGCAAAGCTATCAGGCTTGCTGTTAATAATTGGTCCATAATATGTATTCAATGTCATGTACTGAGTAAATGAGAGAAAATCTTCCTTAACACCTCTGGGAAGAAAACGGGGAAATAATTTGATACATGTTACCTGAAGACCTGCCTCTCCAGTGTCTAGTTTCCTGTGCCTGAGGTAGAAAGCCCGGACTTGGCCCAAGCCCACAGTACCCCGCGGCCCCAGCCCCACCCAGCCAGGGCCTGCCGGGGCTCCCCGAGCCCCGCCGCTCTCCACACGGGATAAACACCTGTTCCCGTTTGAAGGGTCACCTCCTTTCCGGATCACCTCCTGGGCAGAGGTGGCCACGCCCTCTCTCTGGCCCCAGACACACACCTGGCACAGAGCTTATTTATCTATGCCAGTGGTTTCCCCTCCGCTAGAAGGTCAACCTCAAGGACCGGCACCTTGTCCCTTTGGCACTAGTACCCCAGGACCTGGCATGTATCTGGTAGGTTCTTAGTGATCTGGCCATTATGAATGCATTCCTTATTTGTTATCTGACTTGTTACCCAATGGCTTTAAAAGAAGAGCACTTACTAGCAATACCTAAGGCCACGAGCCTGGACTGGCAGGAGAACGGGCCCAGTTTGCTGCAGAAGCTCACAGAGATCTTGCCTCATGACAGCCACCCCTGATCCTTTCTCCCCCTGTGACGGCTGCTCTCCACAATGGGCAGCGCGGTTGTGGGGCCTTTCCTACGAACAGCCCGCTGGGCTCTACTGCTCGCTAAATTTCCCTGGGACGCTAAATCCATCTATTTCTAAATCCTTTCTGTTTCTCCCGCCCTCATTCAGGAGCGCACAGCCATCCCTTTGAAAAAAAAAAAAACAAAAAAAAAAGTTCCTGCCGCCCATCACTCCGTCGGAGAATGTGTCAGTGCCCGCGGTAGGCCCAGGCAGCCTCCCTCAAAGCCAGGCACTTAGAATCAGAGGAATCCAGATCTAGGAGGCCGCTTCCTAAACAGCCTGCCCTTTCTGTTCTGTCGTTCACAGGATTCAGCTACATTTAATTGTGTGCACTTGAACACCAGCCAGTGTGGGGTCAGGGTGAACAGTATTTGGC